ATGAAGGAGAGTTGACCGATATGGGCACTAAATCCTGTTCGAGGAAATCTCCTCCAAATCATTGGTATGGCTATCGAAATCGAGAGCATCAGCAGGTAGGTTCCAGATCCAGGTGGTAGTATCAGGTTCTTTAGTTATTATTTTGGCGGGATCCCGTCTTGGGGGGGGGGGGGGGGGGACGAGGTCTAAAATTAAAGAAGGAATGGACATCCGGAAGCAGAACTAGGGATATTTGGTATAAGAGTGTGGGCTATATGTTGCGAAGGTTTCAGGGGTCACGCACACGAAAATACTTATATTAGGTTCATTCTGAAAGCAGCGCCCTCGAAAATATTTTTTAGGTGTGTTCACACATCAAGTAAATAAATATTCATAAGCATTAATTTAACTAGTATAAATTAAGGGCAAATTACGGCCACCCCTGAGGTATGCTCAAATTACGAAAATACCTTACTTGTTTGGGTAATTCCAGCTACCACCCTCCTAAATATTTTTACATAAAATTTATGTAATTCGGTTATTTACCGAATAAAATCGTATATTTAGTTCGGAAAACGGTATGAAATGTTGGCGTACCAAAATTTTGGTTCGTTTTTACCAAATTAACATCCCTAAATTTTCATCTAGAAGTGGTCTTTTCGTAAGATAATACATAGTTGAGGGTGGCTATAATTACCTAAATGGGTGAGGAGTTTTCGTAATTTGACCATAACTCGGGGGTGGCCATAATTTGCCCATAAATTAAAATATAGTAAAAAATATGATCATATTATCTGAAGCTCCGTAAACATTAAGGCCTCTGTTCGGTAATTGTCAAGATAAGATTAGCCAAGATTAGATAATTCTCTCTTTAAAATAATAGGACTATTATTTTATAAGATGTTTGTTATCAAATTTTGAATTTTTTTTTATCTCCTCATTATTTAATAGTGTTTGATGTTTGGATTCCTTAACATCAACCCAATTACTTAAAAGTAATTAATTATCTTTTCTTATTATACATAATTTGTTTCTTCTTCTTTTTAATATTTATATTTTTTTATTTCTTATTTTTGTTTGAATTTTTTATTTTCGAAATATAAATTTCTTTCAATTTTTTTTGAAAAAAACTATTTATTTTCATTTTTTTTTATTTTATTCGAAAAATATTTTTTTTGAATTTTATTTTTTTCAAAAAAAATATATACTTTTTTCGAAAAAAAATATTTCTAGTTTTTTTTTCAAAAATAAAAATAAAATATATTTTTTCGAATAATTTTTGATTTTTTTTTCAAAAAACATATTTGTAAATCTTTCGATAGTTTTTTTTTTTTAAATTTTTTCGATTTTTCTTAAGTTTGATTTATTTTTATTTAATACTAATTATTTAAAAAATTAATTTAATATGTCATTGTGATAAAAAGATGAAAACCAAAAGGACGATCTTGTCATTAATGTACTAATCATACAATAATTTTAGTGGACCTCTCAATGTCCAATTAGTTATCTCCAAATTAGCCATGATTAGCCATGACAATAGTATTTTGGCGGGTCGACTCGAAAAATAATAGGACTAACCAAATATCAAACTAAACCTTACTACTATTTATTTAATCTTGGCTAATTTCCTCAACCAAGGGACCTATTTGTATTTAAAAAAAAATATGTAAGCTTTTTTTAAAATAAAATAAATTGAAACATACTCCCTATGTTTTCTGTTTTAACCTTATTATTTAATTCTAAGTATATATATATATATATATATATATTTCAGAACAAAAATAATTCAACTCGAGCTCTAAGTATTATTTTCTTAAAATCAAGCCACTCGTTTGTTGGGTATCTTAATATTTGTGCAAACGTGAAAAATGACGATAATTAAGGAACGGAGAAAGTACAATAAGTCTAGATGAGTTTTATCTTTTTCATAAATATTTTTCTTATTGAATTTTGCGTGAGAATTCAATAATAATTAAGTGTGTTAGGTGAAATAAATAAAATAATAATCATAAAATATTGAGAAAAAAAATGTGATGGTGGCTGGAGTTAACCTTAAGCATATGTGGTTGGATTAATATTTATTAGAGACAACTCACCGATAGCACACATTATTAGGACTTGGTACCAGCCATTAGTTCAAACATTCATTAGACATAAACCTAAATAATGAGTTTGTACCTTTTTCAAATCCTAATTAGCATTTTTTCTCTTTATTTATTTATTTGTTTAATTAATTAATTAACTAATTAATTATGTATGTTTATAAGAAAAAATTATGATTAAATTTTGGTTTTAGCAAACCACTTCATAAATTGGCAACAAATATAGCACTTGTACGGTAAAGTTCCTTCACTCTATCAAACAATTCGACCTGAAAAAAACAAATATTCGATTAGAACACAAGAATCATATGATAAGATCGATTTCAACCACTTTCACTTATACAAGGTGCAATTTAACATTTTCATTCCATCCATTAGCAATTCGATAACATACCTCCAAGTAAGTGAAGAGCGTTATGATCCGAGAATCGATGAAGGGAATATTCATCGTGTGGCCACCAACCATTCTGCTCTACTGTCTTCTTCCAAACTGCACATTTTGCTTTCTTGATGATCTTCATTTATTTTATTGTTCCAGTCTTAAAGAAAATATTGTGCAATATAATGCTTGCAATGTAGGGATTATGTAATATGTAAAGCATTGTAAAGAATGCAATAAAGTCTTTACCATAAAGATCTTCGTTTACAAATTGACCATTCAACTGAGCAATAAGAGTTGGGAGCTTCTAACCACTCAGGAAGAACTTTGATGAACCGATATCAACACTGCAAACAGAGAAAAAACACTCAACAATGTAAACCGTCATTTGGTTTTCGCAATGAGATTACCGAAGACAAGATTATTGTAGGATTATATAAACCAAGATGGGGGATCATAGTTTCCAAAACAAATTGAGCCGGTCCTCCGCTTTAGCATGTTGTAGCTCTTCCTTGGAGTATTCCAGCTGTGAGAGTAGGGATGGCAATGGGGCGGGTTTTGCAATCCATATCCCCACCCCACTATAAAATCCCCATCCCGTCAAAATCCCGAACTTTATAAAAATAATCCCTATACCCACCCCATAAAATCTCCACGGGTACCGGGGTGGGTAAAAATCCCCATCTAGTTTTTATTTTTATTTTTTTAATAAATAAATATACAATCTACTTATAATGTAAAGGCTTATTTCAACAAACAAACCATTATTTAATTATATTACTAATATTTAATTATATAACCGAAACCTAAAAATCCTCATTTGTAGCTAATATTTAATATATTACTATTATTTAATTATTTATATTTAATATAATAATTAATAAATATATATTATATATATAAATAATGTGGGGCGGGTATGGGCCGGGGGCGGGTACGGGGTGGGTCTATGGGGCGGGTATAGGCAAACACATCACCGTACCCGTATCCGGTAAAAAAAAAAAATCCTCATACCCGCCCCATTTTTTTCAGGGTGGGGTTCCGTCGGGACGGATCAAATTGCCATCCCTATGTGAGAGGATTACATCTCTAGGAACAATATATGTTGGTTGCAAAATGATCAGAGGTATTGGTAACACTAACACCTGCAGAAATTAAACACTTTCAAACTCAGGCCTATTTTGGACAGATTCAGAATGAGCATAAGTAGCATTCAGGGAAGTTCTCTAAACTGAGAGCGTTCTAAGAACTTGTTAAAGACTCGAATGAGGCCATAAGGTGTGTGAAGATTGTCATTAGTATTTTGAATAAAACCTTGGTCCAAGAGGACACTACAGATGAGTTAGGGATAGAGTAGAAAAGAGTTAGTGAGATTTTTGGCAAATCTAGCAATGTGAGAGTAGAACAAAAGGTAAAAATCAACTATTATTCCATTACTAAGTTGTACATACGTATAACTTGCTCTTTTCATTTGTGGAACGAATCCAATTTGAAACTATAATTTTATAAAAGATAGAATGGAAGGAAGTGAGAGAACCAACTTTAAATTTTCTAGGATGACGTTCAACACTCGGTTGAGGAACTGATACGACGTTCAAAATATTAAATATTATTTATAACTTAGTGGATTAATTAGTGATCGATTAGTGGAAGAAGAAAACGGACTTAATTAGTCAATATTATTGTTGCATGAGAATAGGTTAGTTAAGTAGTGGGTTGTAGAATGTAGATTATAATCACACGAGTTGCATGATAGTAGTAGGGATAGTTGCATATTTTAGTTATTCTCTTGTAAGGATTATAAATAGAATTAGTGGCAAGTAGCCGAGAATTATAGTCTCCTCCTATATATCTTCCCTTAGTTTTTCTTATTATCTTTCTATTTCTTCTTCTTTCTTTTGCTTCAACACTCGGTTGAGGAACCACGCGCACCGGTTCCTTAACTGGAATTTGATCACCAATTAACTCCCCCTGAATCTTAGCTCGGGAATAAGGAACTTTCTCTATTGCCATGGTTTTGTCAGGTCCATGGTTTCTCGATTTCTTCTAAATTCTCAAACTATGTTTTCTTGCTCAAATTACCACGTAACAACCGGCTGGAAGGAAATCGACCGGCGGTGAAGGAAAGTCCAAACTGAGGAGGCATGTTTTCTGGGTTAACGGGAATTTCTTCCGCTCCAACTTCTAAAAAGGAAATGAGCTCAGCATCTTCAATAATTTATGAAGGTAACAAGGCTAATTAGAATTTGTCTCCTCCGGTGCTACTGTACATGTACCGAAATTATGGGGATTTTGAGCAGGGTTTGAGGAAGATGAAGCCATTGGAATTTGGAGGTAAATTGTGAGAGATTGAAGCGGCCAAGCTTGAAAAGAGCTATTAGCAAGAGGGTAGAGATGAGTTTGTGAGAAAATAAACTGATGGAAGCTTTGATTTTATAGAGATTTTTTTTTTTTTTTGGCCAAAAACTTTAATTATTCCATTATTAAATTGATTATTTATTTTCACTATTTAAATGATCTCGTGCATCGCACGGGTAAAAATGCTAGTAAAAAATTAAAACAAAAACTATCTAGGTTATTACACAAATGCCCCAACTAGGGGTAAAAAAGCAAAAAACTAGAACAAGCTAAACTAAGTAAATGATGAAAACGGAAATTGGTGTTTTGACCCCAGGTGGGGTTCAAACTACAAATAATCAATCTTGGTGTTGTCCTCCAACATAAATTCTTGTTTTGACCCCCGGAGGGGGTGAAACTGCAAATATTCAATCTTGGTGCTGTCCTCCAAAGAGAAGTCTATGGAACAACAAAAAATTGCGGCAGGTCCCCAGGTGGGGGTCAAACTGTAATAAACAAAAATCTGTAAAATTTGGGCTGCTTCACCAAATTAAACCCATCATGGACGATAAGTTGCAATGCCCAATTTTTCGCTGATGTAAGCGGCTCGAACCTCAAACGGCAAGCTGACTTCGAAAAAAAAAATCTTAACTGGATTTATGGCAGCCCACTTGGCCAGACTATCCGCCACTGTATTTTTCTGCCTCATGACACGATGAGACCGAAAGAGAGGTGCAACCAGGGGCGGACCCAAGGAGTATTGGGTGGGGGGGCTAAATTTTTTTTTTTGGACTAAAATGGTACTAAATTTAAACTTTTGGGGGCTAAAAGGTATAAATTAATAGATAAATAACATAAAATATTAAGAAATTAATAAAAAAGAGGTAAAAAACAAAGAATTTTTGCAGGGGCGGAGGCCCCCCCAAGGCATACCTTGGGTCCGCCCCTGGGTGCAACCTCCTGAATACATTTGCGAAAGATGTATTCTAGCTCCCATGCAGTGCCGGAGCCAGGATTTGTGGTCAGGGTGGGCTTAATTTTACGGGTTAGGAGGTAGATCCCCCAAATTTTTTTGAGAGTTTTTTCGAAAATATAGAGCAAAATAAATAGAAATTTGTTTATTTTAATTAAATTGTATATTGTTCAAAATATAATTATTGGAGCTCTTTAAAATAGATTACAAATCTCTTGGGTGGGCTAATTAAATTGGATTATGATTAAAATAGTGTATAAAATGGCTACTTAAACATAATTAGCATTAAAATATTGCATAAAAAATATAAATCAGGGTGTTGATCAAGCCCACCCACAACTCAAAATAGCTCCGCCACCGCTCCCATGGAACAAGTTTTGTCCGAATTGCATTCATTACTAAAAGGGAATTGCTTTCCACCATAACTTGAGAGATACCCAATAGCGTGCATAACCGAAAACCCAGCACAAGTGCAGAAAATTCTGCAACATTATTGGTACCCAACCCATAATATGCTGTAAAGGCTGCTACAATATTTCCCGAATATTACCTCCTCCTGTGCACAGGCCCGGCCCGGGGGTTGGGCGAGCAGGGCCCACTCCCAGGGTCCAATTTCCTAGAGGACCCAGTTTTCCTTATATATATATATATATATATATATATATATATATATATATATATATATATATATTTACATATTATATATTTTTTATATGCAAAAAAATATTGTTTTATTGATTAAAACAAAAATTGTTCTATTTAAAAAAATATTCTTATGTTATTAATTTTAAATTTAGTTTAAAAGTAGACGTAAAATTTAATATTTTATTTAGTCAAACAAAAATTTATTACATATTCTTCTATCATTTGTTTTACGTAATTTTTTTTTATGTTGATATACATTAATATTTTCAATCTTTTATTTATGAGGTTTCTATTAATAAATAATTTATTTACATGATGTCAATAAGCATAATATGCAGAAAAAGAAAAAAAACATCGGGGCGTTGCCCATGAATTCTCGTATTATTAATCGTACAAATTAAATTTTTGCCCAGGCCCCCCAAATATGCCAAATATGCCGGACCGGCCCTGCCTGTGCACGTCTCATTTGTTAAAGGCTGCTTAGGCGCATGATTAAGAACCAAATGATTCACATGATAAAAAAACTCGACGGATGATGTTATCTTTTTTCATGACTCCACTATCATAGATCGTTCTGCATCGAGCCACCCAAATCTCGCGATACGACAAACAATAGAAGTTCGAATCATCATATATATATGGGTAAATTACACCCACACCCCTGAGGTATGCTTATATAATTTTAAGGTCCCTGTGGTATCGATAATTACACTCACCCCCCTGAAACGTAGTTAGAAACTCTAACGGGATAATGCATTGGATGCATTATTCCGATAGGGTTCTAATGGACTATTAATTTTAGCTAGTGGTGGAGATAACCTAGAGTTATGGGGTGACATGGCTCCCCCAATATTTCTTAAATCACCCATAACTCTTTGTTGTCTCCACCACTTCCTGAAACCAATAGTCCGTTAGAACTCTATCATAATAACTTATCCAATGCATTATGCCATTAGAGTTTATAACTACGTTTCAAGGGGGTGAGTGTAATTATCGATACCACAGGGACCTTAAAGTTATTTAAGCATACCTCAGGGGTGTGGGTGTAATTTACCCTATATATATAACAACTGGCAATGGGGTTTAGGTACCCAAACCGAAAAGAACAACTAGCTACAACAAGAGCAATAATATATTCTAGTGTTAGGCAGAAAATCGAGAGTGCAATTTTCAGAGTTCCTAAGGGAATTGAGAGGTATTGTGAGTTGTGAGTTGTAGAAGAGAGTGTGAGTGTTTGTAAACACTGTTCTTGTTCTCCCTATAATAAAATCTGCAGCAGCCCGTGGACTTAGCCCAACTTGGGTGAACCACATAAATCTCGTGTCTTCTATCGTTGTTATTTAATCTGGTTGTTCAAATCCTAGCAACTAGTATCAGAGCCTCAGCGATTATATATTCCTGTGGCAACCAGATTCGTGGAAGAAGTAATGGCGACAGAAGAAGAAAAATTCAAACTTGAGAAGTTTGATGGTGCTGACTTTGGTTTCTGGAAGATGCAAATCGAGGATTATTTGTATCAAAAGAATTTGTATCTATCTCTTGAAGAAGAAAAGCCTGAAGCCATGAAGGATTCCGATGGCAACTTCTCGACCGACAAGCTCTTGGAGTTATTAGATTGTCATTATCTCGTAATGTTGCTTTCAACATAGCGAAAGAGAAGACCACAGCCGGTCTTATGAAGGCTCTTTCAAATATGTACGAGAAGCCGTCGACAGCAAATAAAGTACATTTAATGCGATGGTTGTTCAATTTAAGAATGACTGAAGGATCGTCAGTGGCCCATAACCTCAACGAGCTCAGTACAATCACGTCACAATTATACTCTATTGAAATAGAGTTTGATCACGAGATACATGCGTTTTTACTTTTATCCCTACCAGATGGTTGGAATGCTACTGTCACTGCTGTGAGTAGTTCATCGGGAAATAATAAGTTGAATTTCAACGATGTTCGTGACCTCGTTCTGAGTGAAGAAATTCGACGTAAAGAATTGGGAGATGTTTCGAATCCTTCTGCCTTATCAACCGAGTCAAGAGGATGTTCAGTGAAGAACGATCACAGAAGATGTGTTCAACGAGGAAAATCGAGAAATGGAAGATCGAAACCAAGAAATTCCAGAAACACTAAAACCGTTGAGTGTTGGAATTGTTGCAAGACAGTCCACTTCAAGAATCAGTGCAATAATGCTTCAAAGAATCATGATACGAATACTGAAGCTAATGTTGCATCGACATCAGTACCTGATGATGCTTTAATTTGCACCTTGGAGAAAAATGAAGAGTCTTGGGTTTTAGACTCCGGAGTGTCATTTCATGCGACTTCTTAGAAGGAGTTCTTTGAAAGATACAAATCTGAAAATCTTGGAAAGGTATACCTCGGCGATGACCAACCTTGCGACATTATCGGAAAAGGCACGTGAAGATTAATTTAAATGGGCTTATTTTGGAGGTGAACAATGTGAGGCACATCCATGATCTCAGAAGAAATTTAATCTCGGTGGGTCAATTAGCAAGTGAAGGATATACCATAATTTTTTATGGTAACGATTGGAAGATTTCTAAAGGCGCCATGACAATTGCACGAGGAAAGAAGAGTGGTACTCTTTACTTAACCGCGACAAGTCGTTGTTCAATTGCCGTTGCCGATAGCTACTCGAAAGCAAATATATGGCACCAGAGACTTGGCCATATGAGTGAAAAGGGAATGAAGATCATTCACTCAAAGGGAAAGCTACCAGATTTACAGTCCATAACCATCGATATGTGTGAGGATTGTATTCTTGGAAAACAGAAGAAAGTTAGTTTCGAGAAAGGTGGCAGAATCCCGAAGAAGGAGAAGCTAGAGCTCGTCCATTCTGATGTTTGGGGACCAACAACTATTTCATCCAACGGTGGAAAATACTATTTCGTGACGTTCATTGATGACCATTCTCGAAAGGTATGGGTTTAGTTTATGAAACACAAATCTGAGGTGTTTAGTGCTTTCAAGAAATGGAAAGCATTGGTTGAAAATGAGACCGGCCCTAAGATCAAAAGGCTAGAACCCATAATGGTGGTGAATACGAAGACAACTCTTTCAAGAGATTTTGTCATGAGCATGGGATTCGAATGGAGAGATCTGTTCCAGGCACAAGTCAACAAAACGCCGTGGCTGAACGTATGAACCGAACGTTGACAGAAAGAGCCAGAAGTATGAGAATGCAGTCAGGCCTACCGAAGAGCTTTTGGGGTGAAGCGGTCAATACAGCAGCTTACTTGATCAACCGGGGTCCCTCAGTTCCTTTGGAGTATCAAATTCCAGAAGAAGTATGGAGCGGCAAAGATGTTAAATTATCACATTTTAAAGTTTTTGGTTGCACAGCATATGTACATATTAGTGATCAAGGCAGAAATAAGCTTGATCCTAAATCCAAGAAATGTACCTTTGTTGGCTATGGCGAGGATCAGTTTGGATATCGCATTTGGGACGACGAAAGCAAGAAGATTATCCGGAGTAGGGATGTTATCTTCAACGAAGCTATTATGTACAAAGATCGACACTTAACCATCACCAGCGAGTCCGAGCCAGTGTTTGCAGAAATCGACGACACCCAAGTCACCAATCAGATTGTTGCAAATCCAGAGTCGATGGACCACTCTAACCAAGAGGCTTACGCTCCAACTCCAGCATTACGAAGGTCTTTTCGACCTCCTGTCCCTAATCAGAGGTATTTGGACTACCTTTTATTGACCAATGGAGGAGAACCAGAGTGCTATGAGGAAGCATGTCAAACCGAAGACGCCGTTAAGTGGGAGCTAGCCATGAAAGAAGAAATGAAATCTTTAATTTCAAATCAGACATGGGAACTCGTCGAGTTACTGATTAGAAAGAGGGCTCTTCACAACAAATGGGTCTATCGAGTTAAAGAAGAGCAAAATGGCTCGAAGAGGTACAAAACTCGATTAGTCGTCAAAGGATTTTAGCAAAAGGAAGGTATCGATTACTTCGAAAAATTTTCTCCAATTGTGAAGCTTAATACTATCAGGACAATATTAAGCATTGTTGCTATTGAAAATCTCTATCTCGAACAATTGGACGTGAAGACTGCCTTTCTTCAGGGAGAATTAGATGAAGAGATTTACATGCACCAGCCAGAGGGTTTCGGAGAAAAATAAAAGTAATCTAGTGTCCAAATTAAAAAAAAGAGCATGTACGGATTGAAACAAGCTCCGCGCCAGTGGTACCGGAAGTTTGATAGTTTCATGCACAATGAGAATTTCCAAAAGTGCAATGCTGATCATTGCTGCTATTTCAAGAAATATAACTCAAGTTATATCATTTTGCTACTCTACGTCAACGACATGTTAGTAGCTGGCTCCGACATGAACGAGATCAAACGGTTGAAGTTGAACTTGTCAAAAGAGTTTGACATGAAAGATTTGGGCCCAACGAACAAGATTATTGGGATGCAGATAAATCGAGATAAACAAACCGGGGTTTTACAATTATCTCAAGAAGAGTGTATCAAACAAGTTTTGGAAAGGTTCAACATGAGCAGCACCAAGCCGGTAAGCACACCTTTGGCCGGCCACTTTCGTTTATCAAAGGATCAATCACCTCAAACGGATAAAGAGAGAGACTTTATGTCTTAAGTTCCATATGCTTCGGCTATTGGAAGTTTAATGTACGCGATGGTTTGTACGAGACCAGACATTGGCCATGCAGTGGGAGCTGGTTGCCGGTTTATGTCAAACCCGGGCAAAGACCACTGGGAAGCTGTAAAGTGGATCTTGAGGTATCTACGTGGCACTACGAACCAGTGCTTATACTTTGGAAAATGAGATCTTAAATTACATGGGTACGGATGTTGATTTTGCAGGCAAAGTCGATCATCGAAGGAGCACAACCGGATATGTGTTCACGGTGGGCTCAACTGCTGTTAGTTGGATGTCGCAGCTGCAAAAGATTGTTGCCTTATCAACTACGGAGGTGGAGTATGTTGCCGTAACAGAAGCCAGTAAAGAGTTGATATGGCTTCAAGGTTTATTGTCAGAATTGGGTTTTGAATGCAAAAGGAGTGTCTTGCATAGCGATAGCCAAAGTACGATACATTTAGCCAAGAACTCAGCTTTTCATTCCCGAACGAAGCGTATCGGACTTCGTTATCACTTCGTCAGGTCCTTGCTCGAAGATGAAGTGCTAAAACTCGAGAAAATTCAAGGAAGTAGTAATCCAGCGGATATGCTAACAAAGGCGGTTACCATTGATAAATTGAAGTTATGCTTAACTTCTGTAGGCCTTCGAGGATAGCATGATCGGGATTGGCTGCTGCACAATTGTGAAGACAAATTGAAATATGTCTTCAAGTGGGAGATTGTTAGATGCATTGAACCTTTGTGAAAGAGGAATTAGTGTGCAGGTAAAACACCATTTGATGGTCAAGATTCCAAGGGCAAGTTCCTAGCTTTGAATGACCCTTCAAGTAGCTTTGTGGTGTCCTATAAATGGGGACACCCTCTCCATTCGGGATTCATTCAGAAATCATCAAGTCAACAAGAACACACAAGAACAACTAGCTACAACAAGGGCAATAATATATTCTAGTGTTAGGCATAAAATTGAGAGTGCAATTTTCAGAGTTCCTAAGGGAATTGAGAGGTATTGTGAGTTGTGAGTTGTAGAAGAGAGTGAGTGTTTGTAAACACTGTTATTGTTCTCCCTATAATAAAATCTGCAGCAGCGCGTGGACGTAGCCCAACTTGGGTGAACCACATAAATCTTTTTGTCTTCTATCGTTTTTATGTAATGCGGTTGTTCAAATCCTAACAATCTCTTCATGACTATTCATGGATATCCACAGTGGAGAAGCCGATCGACTTGTAATGCTATGTCGTTTGTTCCAATACTTTGCCTTAGCGAATTCAGCCCAAAGAGACAATCCTTGATGAACTTGCCGAGTTTCCCGTGCAAACACCTAATCACCTGATGGAGAGACCGAATTCCTAAGCCTCCTTCGTCAACTGCAGTACATACAGTTTGCTATTTCACCAAATGCATCTGTTAGTGCTACAAAAAGTGCACTAATACGTCTTGTTCTTGTGTTAATTGTCCGATGCTCGAGAGTTTTTTGTTAGGTTTTTCATCGTATTTTGCATAATTACAATTTTATTTGTTTATGTTTGCATTTACATTATTTTTAGTATTTTGAGGTGTTTTTCATGCATGTTATTAGATATCAAATCGAACATGGAGTAAAAGAGAAACTCAAGAAAAAGGCCTTGCTATCATGTTCTGTACAAGGTGCGATCACACCTGAATTGGACGCGCAAGCGTACGAGAAAAAAAGCTGCCACGCCGGACTGTACCAGACCCGCTTGAAATGTGCACGCAAGCGCGCAGAACTAAATCTGAAAATTTTGGAATTTTACATATGGAAAGAAAAAAGACTATTTGGAGAGTCTTTCTAAATCCATATAAAAAGAGGATTGGAGCCCTATCATTCGATACAAAAGAAAGGGAAGTTTGAAGCGGTTTTGGAGAGAAAACTTGGAGAAATAAGAGCGAGAAGATGGAGAAAAACAAAGAGGAATATTTTACAATTCTTCAATCTAGTTTTTCTCTTATTCTTATTCTTCTGAACCATGTATCTTTACAATTTTTATCGTTTTTTCTTGAACAACATAAGTAGCTAAACTTATAATCTAGGATTTTGTTGGAACCATATGTGGAATTTGTTGGATTGAATTTCTCTATTATTCAAAGTTTATGGATTGTCTATTTCTTGACCTTGTGCTTACTTTATTCATGAATCTGATCAAATTGTGATTTATTTTATTGAAGTGATTGACAAATTGCTTTAATTATTTAGAATTGTTGGTAAAAGAACTCTCGAGTCAATTTCATCTAATGGGTGTTCTTGGCATGAATATAGGATAGAAATATACTTTTATTTCTTGGGTAGCCATAATCAGAATTTGTTCTTAACGATGCATGTTTTAACTTTTAATCGATTTGCATAGACGTATCGTAGATTGGTTATGCATGTTGGGATTGTAATTTATTGTGAAGGTAGTTTATAATTAATCTTGTATTCCTGGTTAATAAATTAATTCAATGCATGATTAGTGGTTTTATTTCCAAAAAGTACACTTAGGGGAAGACGAGATCCTAGGGTTTTTTTCTAATTTCATCAAATCCTCCGTTATTTGCCTTTTATTATTTCTTGGTCTTATTTAGTTAATTTTAGGATTCATAACTTAAAAACTCAATTTTGTTGCTTGGATAAACGTAAGTAGCAACAATTTAGGTACTTAGAAGTAGAAAATAAATTGCTCCCTGCGGGTACGATATCCCGACTCTTCACGAGTCCACTTTATTACTTGTTAACTATACGTGCACTTGCGTACGTGAAAAATCACCAACAACATCCTTGATTCTGTGTCAGTATCTAACAAACTGATTAAATTCCTCATGCATGTCATTAATTCAAAAGTCATTTTTCAATGCTTTTGTGATATAGGTGGACATGGAAGTAAGTTTTCCTATATTTCTGTATTTTACCTTTTCCTTGCTTCTTGTGTGCATTCTATCAAAGGCATCTCCAACAACTTAAGTGGTAGAATGATTCTTTTGAATTCTGCTAGATAGCTCTATTATGCGCACCTATGTCCTTTGATCAAATATGTCAAAATCAGACTTATTAGAGTCTGTTGAATCTGGACTAAGTGTTTCTGGAGTTGTTGTTGTACTCGGAGCAACAATGCCATTACTATTCACTTGTCTTGAAATAGATGAAATAGTAGACTTGTCTTTGTCTGGCACACTATTAGATAATACCTTTGACATATCTATCAAATCGTCCATTTCATGTTCAGTTGTTTTTCAACTAAGATCAGCAAGATCATTAAATACCACATCTACTGACTCAATAATAGTTCTAGTGCGAAGATTATGTACTCTAGAAGCATGAATTTTTTTTGCATATTCAACAAACAAACCCTTGTCACTTTTTGAATCCAATTTTTTAAGGTGGTCTCTTTCATCCACACATAACAGATGCATAAAAAAATATGCAAATATTCAAGATTAGGCTTTTTGCCCTTTAAATGTTGATATGTAGTCATAGTGGCTTCTGATCTCAAGCGCACTCCGTTATAAATACTTCATGTTGTGTTGACATCATTGGCCCAAAATCTTTTTGTAAGGTTTTTAGCCTTTATCATGACTTGAGCCCTTTCTTGCAAAGATCTATTTTTTCTTTTCGCTATGCTACATAAATTTGAAAATGGGAATTTAAAAATTCTTTTCAATGACCAGTTCTGATCCTACCAACATCTAGAGAAAGATGATCACAAATTCAATTGTGAAATTTTTGAAGCTTCAAAGGTAAAACCCAAAATCCAAAATCCGAAACTCGAAATCTAAAGTTCGAAACCCGAAACTCGAAACCATTTCAGAAAAAAAATCAAAATTAGATTTTTGTGGTCAAAACTAATTAAACTGGGATTACAATTAAGAATGGTTGGAGGTAATTTTGTCACATATATTAATTTTTCATTTATTTCTAATACATATTAAATGGATGAGCTTATTGGCGAAAGAGATATAACCTCTGAACCTAGAAATATAAAGATGGTTGGTCAGGTACTTAAGCACAAAAACCCCTAAAATCAAACTTACAAGACCTGCTCTACAAAGCTTCGGAAATAGGAATCACAATAAACCGAATAAAATGAAAGCAATCAACAATTTCTGCAGAGTAATAATAATTAAAATGTCGACATAGAAATATTTAATATGTCAACATAGAAGCTGGGGGTCCATTTTGTTAGTTGATTATAAATATAGGTCCCTTGACCAATAAATGTAATATAAATTAAATTAAATTATTTTTCTATTGACATTAATACCCTTAATTATTATTTATATTAAGGTAGTTAGTTATGGAAAATATGAATAAAATCCCACATTTCACTCCACCGTTTAACTCCTCTGTCTCTCTCTTCTCCCTCACGTCTCCCCCTTCCTTTCTTTTCTCTCATTTAACTCCCCTCTCTCTCTCTCTCTCTCTCTCTCTCTCTCTCTCTCTCTCTCTCTCTCTCTCTCTCTCTCTCTCTCTCTCTCTCTCTCTCTCTCTCTCTCTCTCTCTCTCTCTCTCTCTCTCTCTCTCTCTCTC